GGAGAAAATTATCAGGAGAAGAGTTGTGGAGCACCTAGAAAGGAATGAGCTTATCATTGACAGCCAGCACGGTTTCAGGGACGGGAAATCCTGCACCACAAACCTACTGGAGTTCTATGACAAGGTGCCGGCAGTAAGGCAAGAGAGAAAAGGGTGGGTAGATTGCATTTTCTTGGACTGTAATAAGGCGTTTGACACAGTTTCACACAAGAGATTAGTGCGGAAGCTGGAGGACCAAGCAGGGATAACAGGGAAGGCACTACAGTGGATCAGGGAATACCTGTCAGGAAGACAACAGCGAGTCATGGTACATGGCGAGGTGTCAGTGGACACCTATAACGAGCGGGGTGCCACAGGGATCAGTCCTAGGACCGGTGCTGTTTCTGGTATTTGTGAACGACATGACTGAAGGAATAGACTCTGAAGTGTCCCTGTTTGCAGATATGAAGCTGATGAAGAATTCAATCGGACGAAGACCAAGCAGAACTACAGAGGGATCTGGCCAGACTGCAGGCCTGGAGCAGAAACTGGCTCCTGGAGTTCAACCCCACCAAGTGCAAAGTCATGAAGATTGGGGAAGGGCAAAGAAGACCACAGACGGAGTACAGTCTAGGGGGCCAGAGCCTACAAACCTCACTCAAGGAAAAGGATCTTGGTGTGAGTATAACACCAGGCACATCTCCTGAGGCGCACGTCAACCAAATAGCTGCCGCAGCATACGGTCGCCTGGCAAACCTAAGAACAGCATTCCGACATTTAAATAAGGAGTCATTCAGGACCCTGTACCCTGTGTACGTTAGGCCCATATTAGAATATGCAGCGCCAGTTTGGAACCTTCACCTAGCCAAGCATGTCAGGAAACTAGGGAAAGTGCAAAGGTTTGCAACAAGACTAGTCCCGGAGCTAAGGGGTATGTCCTACGAGGAGAGCTCAAGGGAAATCGACCTGACGACACTGGAAGACAGAGTTAGGGGGGGATATGATAACGACATATAAAATACTGAGCGGTATAGACAAGGGGGACAGAGAGGATGTTCCAGAGATATAAAATACTGAGCGGTATAGACAAGGGGGACAGAGAGGATGTTCCAGAGATGGGACACAGCAACGAGGGGTCACAGTTGGAAGCTGAAGACTCTGGGTGAGTTGCCCAGCTCCCGTTTTCTTTGGGTGAACGCTGTGTGAGCGCCCGTTTTCTTTTGGCTGCCCATTCTCTGTGATTGAGTCTGGAGGGACTCATATATACTGATTATATTGTAAAACGCTAATTTTACAGCTTTTTTCGAAGGACCTTGGCTTGTAGGTTATTTGTACACTGTAGTACAACATATTTGGACCACAGTGTGGCCTTTATCCGGTTCGAGCACGACCAAAATGTTGAGAAATGGTTTACCAGCTAAGATATAATTTATAATTTTAAATATAGGGAACACTTAGCTGATAAAAGGCAGCAAATCGTCTACACAGCTGCCCCTGCAGACGAGGTCTTGAATTGTCATGATCATCTCTCAACGGGCTGGAATAGATAATATGTAAACAATAAATTACCCCTAGGGGGTGTTATGTCAGCATATTTCATTCACTGATGGCTGACAAACTTACTTGTGTGGACTCGAAGGTCCGCATATCACCGGGGTTTATGATAAGTGACTAACTCACGACTTTATACTCAACTGTGCAGTAAATAGTTGTACATCACGAGTTAGAACACTTACCTGGGTATATGTATTTGACCCGTAATTACGCCCGGATATCTGTTGAGTTGATTGAAGAATAGTGTTCTTTGAAGAATGTCGCACTACACTCTGTTGGATCGCAACACTCGTTGTTACACTGTTCATCAATAATTGTTCACACAGTATCACTGAAGAAGCTTATCACACTTCTCTGTAAGTGTTTATTGTGTTTTGTGAGACACTTTGTTCACACTAACGCACAGATCGTTCTTTGTTGGTTATCCTGGTGTCAGTGTCACTCAGTAGAGTCAAAAGTAATCTGAAGATGCCACAACACCCCACGCCATCACTGCCCCTAGCATAAAGGAAAAGCTGACCTAGTACCTTTTGCTTCCTTGCCACTTCCTCCATGAAGCAAAGCAGAATGTTTGATTCTTGCTGTCTTAAACATAGACAGCAAAGTACACTATCTTTACCATGGTAATAAAGTGGGTGCAGGATTTTCCTTAATTGTCCTGCTAAGGTAAGAGATGGACTGTCTTTTATTAAACTACACTTTGCAACACTGGACTCTTGCACGGAGCAGTGGTCGCTTGACCACACGTCGCATACTGGTACTGCATCTGGGATCAATTACTTGCTGTAGCAGTAAACAAGATGCTTGCCCCTTCTGAGAGGGCTGGGCCCCTCAAGGCTGAAAGGGCTGAAAGGGGCTGAAGGGGCTGATACCCCCTCCTGGAGAAAATTTCTCCACAACTCAGATGAAACACAGGGATGTTAGGAAGCATTTCGTCAGTCAGAGTTGTTAGGAAGTGGATTAATCTGGGTAGTGATGTAGTGGAGGCAAGATCCATACATAGCTTTAAGAAGAGGTATGATAAAGCTCACGGAGCGGGAAGTGTGACCGGGTAGCGGCAAGGTGAAGAGGCGGGGCCAGGAGCTGTGACTCGACCCCCGCAACCACAACTAGGTGAGTATGTGTGTGTGTATATTAAATATAGGGAAGTACCACCTCTATAGCTGGAATGGGGACCCTCATCCTCAGAGAAGACAATAAACGTACCTCAGGGAAAACTCAAGGTTCTCCTCGGAGCTGTTTGAATATTTTCTTCTCCTACCACCCCCTATATTTTATATTCTATGTGAACATTTATTAATAAACAATACTTTTACAGAAAAACACAAACATGAATACAATGGTACAATGTATTAAACATCATGAATTTCCTCCAGCTCCTCCGAGGCTGGATGCGAGCCAAGTATGCAGCAAGCATTTTCCCTCTGGATGGCCATGCTGAGGTGCTGGAACATGAAAGTGGCTGCCCTTGGGTCCCTGGTGGTGTCGATGAGTCTGGAACCCAATTCTTTAAGGAAACGTGTGGCATTTTTTCTCCATGGTCCCAAGGTCTCCGATCCCACTGAGACAAATTGATACTGTTGGCTTATGTCGCTGTACTTGCTGATCTTGTACTCCTCCCTGTGGTCAGCAGCTCCTCCCTGTCGCCCCCACACTGTGATGGATGTAGGTGTCAGCCAGTGTGGACACACAGGTATAGGCCCATGCTAAGAGCTTGCCATTCTTCCAAGGATAGATGGTGATCCCGTCGGAGCAGTTTGCTTGGTTGTGGGTATTGTTGACTGCTAGTGATCGGGGCTCCCTCTCGGCTGGGCATCCAGCCGAGAGGCTTCTCTTTATGACGTCGTTGACCTCATTGTGTCTTACATGCCAGCCCTTGGTTTTGGAACGGTTAAGACCATGTAGACCGTGTTGGTCTGCTTGCACTTCGCCGCAAATACACGTATATTCTTTGTGAATTGGGGCAGCAAGGCGGAGCGCCACTGCAATACGGAGGGTCTTAGGGTCGAATCGCGTTCCCATTGCCTATATGGGAACTGTTTGGAGGAAGTCCCCAGAGTGAGGTGCGCTCACAGCCTGAAGACGGGCAGTTTCCCTATCTGATGTTGCAGCCCTGAACATGTTGGCAAGCACCTTTTCAGCGATCGGGGCATCCGAGCTTGACTGTGAGCCAGTGCTGCACTAGGGTTTGGTGCTGGAGCAGCTAGAGCCTCCCATTCAGTGATGGCACTGTCGTAGCTAGGGTCCTTCCTGAGGTTATCAGGAAGAATTTTTCTTATCAACTCGTTTGATGCTATGGAAGTGGATAGGAAAGCTGGTAGAGCAATCTGGGAGGATCTGCGTACTCCTAGCACCCCCAAGCTTGACCGGAAGTGAGGCTTGCAACCACTGTCCATCTTCAAGGGAAAGATTCAATACACTCTCTAGCATGGTCTTCAGGAGAGTCGTATTCCTTGAGTTTTGAACTGCTGAAGGCTGGGGAGCATCTCAGAAAGTAGGCAAGTTTTGGGATTGACAGGCACCTGGTGAGTAGGCAGAAGGCATCATGTGTGTCAATGTCCTGTAATATATATAAATTCAGAGGTTATAGGTAATTTTACAACATTCACACAGGTTATAGGCAGTGTTGACAACATTCACACAGGTTATAGGCAGTGTTGACAACATTCACACAGGTTATAGGCAGTGTTGACAACATTCACACAGGTTATAGGCAGTGTTGACAACATTCACACAGGTTATAGGCAGTGTTGACAACATTCACACAGGTTATAGGCAGTGTTGACAACATTCACACAGGTTATAGGCAGTGTTGACAACATTCACACAGGTTATAGGCAGTGTTGACAACATTCACACAGGTTATAGGCAGTGTTGACAACATTCACACAGGTTATAGGCAGTGTTGACAGCATTCACACAGGTTATAGGCAGTGTTGACAACATTCACACAGGTTATAGGCAGTGTTGACAACCTTCACACAGGTTACAGGTAAAGTATAACATTCTCACAAGCAATTGGTTTATAAAATTTGAATAATCAGAAATGTTTTACGTATAATCTGTAATAAACGTGTATGCTTATTATCATCTAGAATGTTTCTGTTTTATCATAGAACTTTCTCTCTCTCTCTCTCTCTCTCTCTCTCTCTCTCTCTCTCTCTCTCTCTCTCTCTCCTCTCTCTCTCTCTCTCTCTCTCTCTCTCTCTCTGAGGACTTATAAAAAATTTTTTAGTGCAGCATATTATGAAAAGAATTTTTTTTAGGAAGTGTACTTATGATTATCCTGTGTGTGTGTGTGTGTGTGTGTGTGTGTGTGTGTGTGGGTTGCACATTTTATAAGCAATATCATTATCAATATTGCAATAACCTTTCTCAGTATCTGATAACATTTATGTTGTGGCCAGCTTGGCACATCCCGTTGACGATATAGCAGTGATATTAACGTCAGTTTTTCCACATTGCAGACCTGACCTTGCTGCTCCTGGGAGTGACCTGTGACCCCGGGTCACCATGCTCCGCCCAGGTCACCTCGCTGCCCTCCTCTCTGCGGTGAGTCACGTGTCACTTGAACCTTCACAGTGTGTGTGTTGTGTGTGTGTGTGTAGATTTTCTCTACGGTAATTAGCTCTGGTGTTTTATGTGGTCAAACATTATCTCATGCTTCGAAATAAACCTAATTGAATTTTTGGACTCATTAATAGAAACGCTGATAACTGGAGCACAAATGTTCTTGATCAAACATTTTTTCCCAGCCCCCCCGCCCCCCAGCCCCAGCCCCAGCCCCCCCAGCCCCCCAGCCCCCCCAGCCCCCCCCAGCCCCCCTTTCCCCCCACACACGTACGAAGGAAAACTTTTTCCAGTTATTGGACACAAGAATCTTCAAACAACTCATTGAATCGTGAAGGTTTTAATTTGCCAGTTTTAATCAACAAACTGCCAACAAAACTGGTTCTCGTGTGTGTGTGTGTGTGTATATATTATATATATATATATATATATATATATATATAATATATTATATTATATATATATATATATATATATATATATATACAATAAGATCACAGTAAACAGGTGATTTCAAAATATGCAAAACAACCACTCTGAAAGAATAGAGAAATTCCAAGCGCTTTCGTGACTACTCACATTATCAAGGAACTATGAAAGTGAAGCATCCAAGGAAGCTATATAAGGGGTCGGCCAGCACCTCACTACTGCTGCTCTAGGTTTTGGCCTAAGTTTTGCAACTTCAAAAAAACTTAATAATGTTGAAATTGCAAAAGCCTTTTGTAACTTTGAAAAATTTTTGATTTATCCTCTGATGAAATTAATATTAGTAAAGGAATGGTATACAGCTCTATGTTAAAACCAAACATTCCCAATTGCCCTCAAAGATTCTTTAAGTCTTATGATACACTTAATAACAATAAAAATTTGCGCCTTACTAAAGCAGACAAAATAAATGCAATAGTAATTATGAAAGAAAATGGTTACCAAGAAAAAATGAATAATCTCTTAGATGATACTGAAACCTATTCTAAACATAGAAAAATCCCCTAGAAACCGTTAACAGCAGTTTCAATAAAACAATAAAACTTCTACTGAAAGGCAAAGATGAATTAGTCAAACAATTTACTTCCACTAATCCATCTTTACCTTACATGTATGGACTAATAAAAAACACACAAACCAGGGAATCCAGTCAGACCAATTATTAGCTCCATAGGGTCAGTTTCATATAAATTATCCAATGGCTTGTTGATATTTTGAGCCCTATTGTTGGCAAAATTTCTAACTTTAATATTAAAAACAACAATAGACTTGGTGATAAATTAAGCTCCTTGACTGACTTAAATGATTTTAACATGGTTAGTTTTGATGTTACTTCCTTGTTTACGAAAGTTCCTGTTGATGATTTATTAAGTTTCTTATCTGAAGAACTCGTTAACTATGATTTACCATTGCCAGTTCCTACTATCATTAAACTTATTAAACTTTGCATTGTTGATGCAAAATTTGTATTTAATGATAAGTTTTACACTCAGAAGTTTGGTATGGCAATGGGAAATCCTCTTTCACCTGTTCTTAGTAACCTATACATGGAATTTTTTGAAACAAGGTTGCTTAACACAATCCTCCCTAATAGAGCTAAATGGTTCAGATATGTTGATGATATTTTGTGTCTTATGCCCAAAAATGTAGATATACACCATTTTCTTGGAAAATTAAATAGCTTAGCCCATTCTATAAACTTTACTGTTGAGTTTGAAGAAAATAACTCATTGCCTTTTCTAGATGTTTTAATTATTAAGGGTAATAATGAATTCAAATTTAAAATTTACAGAAAACCTACAAATAACTGTTCCTATGTCCACTATTATTCCTCGCATCAAGATAGTCAAACTGTCTGTTTTCTCATCAATGTTTTTGAGAGCTTTACGAATTTGTAGTCCTGAGTTCATAGATGAGGAAATATCCAAAATTTATGAAATAGGTAATGATTTAAAATAACCCAAGAAATGTAATTGATAAATCTTTTAAAGTTGCTAGAAACACTTTTTATAATCCAAAAGGGGCAACCAGCCTTATTCAACTAAAAATATGTTGGTTCTCCCTTACCATGAAAACTTGGTTGATATGCCTTCTCTTCTTAAGACTTTTAATATTAAAGTTGTATTCAAAAATCTTGATACAGTAAAAAAAACTTTTGATAAAGAATTCCCCCCAAAATGCTGATGGATGTGTGTATAAGATTCCTTGTAAAATTTGCGATAAAGTTTATTACGGTCAAACTGGTAAAAATCTCGAACTAAGATTAAAACAACATAAATATAGCATTAGAACTGGACAAGATTCCAATGCTCTATTTATTCATGTAAGAGATTTTAACCATCCAATTGATTTTCAAAAAGTTGAGAAAGTAGTATCAAGCAAGTCCATGGTCGACAGGAATATAATTGAATCTTGTTTCATAAAAAACAGTTTTGACAATAATATGAATATTTCCTTTGGTTTATATAAATTAGATCCATTTATAATTAATAGAATTTGGGAAGAATTTAATAATACACTGGACAAATAATTTTTAAATTTTCTTGCGTAGAATAGCTTGGGGGTGAGTTGTGCAAAGGACCTATCCAAGTTGGCTCGCCGCGCGTCACGTGTTTAACCGTTGTGGGATCTGATAGTGAGGTGCTGGCCGGACCCCTTATATAGCTTCCTTGGATGCTTCACTTTCATAGTTCCTTGATAATGTGAGTAGTCACGAAAGCGCTTGGAATTTCTCTATTCTTTCAGAGTGGTTGTTTTGCATATATATATATATATATTTATATATATTATATATATATATATTTATATATATATATATATATATATATATATATATATATATTATATATATATATATTTATATATATATATATATATATATATATATATTTATATTATATATATATATTATATATATATTTATATATATTATATATATATATAATTTATATATATATATTATTATATATATATATTATATATTTAATATATATATATATATTTTATATATATATATATATATATATATATATTTATATTTATTATATATATAATATATGTATATATATATTATATATTATATATATATATATATATATATAATTACACACTCACACTCCCTTATCTCCTTTCTTGTAAGACTTTTTAGATGTTTCTGTGGCTTAAGACAGTGAAAGAGAAGGAGGCAGCAAAGTGCTTGCAGATCACTTTACCGGATGCTGGGTGATGGAAGAGTTGCGAGGTAGTGGTGCACAGTGAGATCAGTAGATTGGGGGAGGAAGGGATTGGGAGGAAAATGCGATATTGGGAGTGAGGGATTGAAAATAAATGTGATTGTGTGAGGAAGGGATTGAGGAGAAAATTTAGAGAGAGAGAGAGAGAGAGAGAGAGAGAGAGAGAGAGAGAGAGAGAGAGAGAGAGAGAGAGAGAGAGAGAGAGAGAGAGAGAGAGCTTGAAGCAAGTTTCTGTACCACAAGACTGGCAGAAAGCAGCAACTTCACTCTGGCTGTACCTTTCTCCAGAACATCACTCCATCTGAGATCATATATACCCAGGATGACTCGAGTATGGAACACATTCGTACAGCATAATGATGTCAACGAGATAAAGTCAGTTGATCACATGAAAATGCTGGCCCACAGATGGCTCCAACTTCATCCTGTTCCCCACTTGTATGTCTCATAACAATAAAAATGCTTTCAAATGAGCTGATGTAGGTAACAGCTCGTAGCTTGCCAATAAAGTTAGGAATCCTTAACCTGTAAATAGCTTGTCAATAAAGCTAGGGATCCTTAACCTTGTCAAACCCTGTGTAAAGAGAGAGAGAGAGAGAGATAGAGAGAGAGATAGAGATAGAGATAGAGATAGAGATATTAAAAGTTACTTTTTACCTTCACTCTTGATTAACACTTGGCAAAATCAACAAATTGTCTAGATTAACGTAATCATATTTCTAGAAATAGATATATTTGTTTTTTCATTGTAGTTTTGACATTGTAGTTTTTGACTGTGTAGATTTTGGCACTGTAGATTTTTGACACTAGTTTTTGGCACTGTAGTTTACAGTATTTTTGCCATAGACTTTTTTTATTCGGAAGAAACTCTTTCGAAAATTGATCATTGAATTATTTAACTGTTACGTCACGTGTCATTGTACCGATGGACGATAGATGGACAATAGATATTGTAACGTAGATTAGTAGTTGACACTGGTAGATAGATACTAGGAACTGACCGGTAGATGGACAGTGGAAACTGTTAGAGAGTAGATGTTGGTTGGTAGGTAGATAATAGGTATTGACCAGTAGGTAGACAATAGATATTGACCGGTAGACAGAAGATGGACATTGATTGGTAGATAGTCAAAACTGACGAGAAGATCGGCGATAGATAATAGCCGGTAGACAGATAATACTGACCAGTAGTTAGGTAATACTGATCTGTAGAGTGACAGTACTGACCTACAGATACAGTGATCGATACCAAGACATTGGTAACCAGTGGATATGACTCAGAAAATCGTAATGACACTCGTGGTATTGTTTGTTTCCAACCGTGTCATTACGATTTCGTGAGTCATGTTTACGGCTTTGAGGGGACTTGAACTAGAGTTCATCACGGCCACGCTAGTGGGAGATTCGTCTGTAAAAACTTGCATTTGTGGCCACAGTCTTGCCTATGCTAACCTTCCTATGGTGTAGAAATATAACTAGTTGGACGAATCTTATTGTGGCTAGCTGGTCCAGTGGCTAAGGCGTCGGTCTGGAGTTTTGTAACTCTGATCGCAGGTTCTAATCCCACCCGTGGTATTGTTTAACCAGTGGATAGATAGTACTGATCTGTTCATAGTATCCCGTAGATAGGCAGTACCATCCCATAGATAGGCAGTACCATCCCGTAGACAGGCAGTACCATCCCGTAGATAGGCAGTACCATCCCGTAGATAGGCAGTACCATCCCGTAGATAAACAATGCTGACCTGTGGATAGACAGCACTG